AGCTGGAATAAAATAAAACAAGGAGTTCTTAACTCCTCTATTGTTTCACATTATAGATGAAATAATAAAAAAGTAGTAATTTAAAGTAATACCAAATGAAATAAAAACAACTTAAAATAATTTGCAAAGCAGGCGACTCAATATGAAGATAATCTACAACGCATGCTGTACCAATTTAATATAACCGACAAAGAAGTTAACATGTTAACTTCCCCAAAAAAGACAAAATGCATGGATATTATAGCAAAAATTTACTAAGATGTAAAAAGAAGTAAAAGATCAAGTGAATAAAGCAAACAGGGCTGCAAGTTGCCGGAATGAAACAATATAGAGAAATAAATAAATCGGAAACAAAATAAAAGGCAGAATTTACTAAACAGTCATCAGACCAATAATGACATGCGCGACAGAAATACGACCTGACACAGAGAGGACAAAAAGGATGTTAAAAGCAGCAGAGATAAAAACATTAAAATACAATACAGGACAGAGCTAGAAGTACAGATATACGACGTAGATGCAAGGTGAAGAACATCAGGGACTAGGGAAGAAATAGTAGAGTAAAATGGAACGATCACATAAGCCGAATGACAACAAACAGATTAGTTAAGACGGAAAGAGATGGTTCCTCAATAGAAAGACGATTAGTAGAAAGACCAAAAAAATGATAGAACGACAGCTTACTGGGGCCACATTAAAAAACAGACACAGTCATGTCTACATACAAAGAACAAGAGGCAAGAAAATAAATTGGACTTAAAAGAAACTAACAAAAAATCCTAGTTTATTAAAAATATGTTAAAAAACGGTTTGAAACACTACAAAAAATAGTAAATGTAAAGTAGTTATTTAGACAAGCTGACATCGGTGAGGAAGTGTGGACAGAGTTAAAAGAGACAATTTAATATAAAATGTGGGCTTACATTTTTGTTTCAATAAAATTACTCAACAAGGCTAATTTATAGACAAATACGTAAAAACAGAAATATATGAAAGTCAGTTTAAATTTATGCCAGAATAAACACGTGCCATTTTGGTTATGAAAATATGGGAATAAATAAAAAAAGATTATTGATGGATTCGACCGTAACTTGATGGAAATTTATTTTATGTAATAATAAAACACTGTAAACTTTGTTTTCAAACTTCCACAAAATTTATTTTAACTTATCACTACAGCTGTTTCGGCTAATTGCCTTTCTCAAGTGATCTATTTTTGGCATGCGTTTACATTTTATAGTCTCTAATGGAATAGGTTGAGGAGGGGACAACTGTCTGTCTCAAGTTGGTCATTCAGAATTATATGTGTTTTTTAATTTTTTCATTTCCATAGATTCTAACAAGGATAGCTTAAGGCCTTTATTTTGAATGTGAAGAATTTTAAATTCGTCATTAAAATAATGATTGTGATTTAGAAGGTGAAGTGCGTATGTAGAATCTGTTTTTCTATTGTTGAATAAATTAGCTGTCGAAACAGCTGTAGTGATAAGTTAAAATAAATTTTGTGGAAGTTTGACAACAAAGTTTTCAGGGTTTTATTGTTGCAAAAAAAGATTACATAATATTCATTAATCTTGAGCATTCATAAGGAACCTCTAGTATTAAATATTATATGTACATTTATGATTAAACCACAATCAATTGATTTTAATGGAAATTACATTTTGAACTGCTGTTTGTCGTTTCGCTTTTCACCAACGGATCAGAAGCATTCAATAAATTTCTGATGGACATCAACACTGAAGAAAAATCAATCAAATTCACCATGAAAGCAAAACAATTCAGATCCTTTTCTGGATGTGTGTCTTTGTGTGTGTGAAAGATATGGCGCGGAGCGCCATATCCATCAGCCACAGAATGTTTTATTTATGTTTAAAGATATTTTTTTGTTCTTGTTTGTTTTTTTAGATTTATGTAAAGTCACTAAAGATATACTAATTTATATTTCTACTTTTACATCTTTAATAAAATTTATTAGCAATGTTAAGGTTTCTCTACTATCACTTGGCAAAATGTGTGATAGACTTAACATAAGCAAATATTTCATTTCGATAAGAGTGCTAATGAATTTATGTGATTTTTCTAAATATTTGTTGCAGCCAAAGTAAATATGGTTAAGATCTCCGTAAGAACTTATATCACAACTGCAGGATAGTGCCGCTAAAATATACCAAGCTAAAATAAATGTGACGGGAATGGACCATGATTCGTATTAATTAAGGCGAGAAAAATTTGGTAGTCGAGTAAATAAAAATGTATTGGTTTGGGAGTGATAAAGTGGGATGTATCTGAAAATAATTATTTTGCGGGTTTTTACCAATATTCTGCCATTGTTTTGTCCTATTTTAGCCTTTTTTTATTTTTTATAGAGTTAAATATATCCCTTACTGTATAAATATTGCAAAGTACGTCATTTTGTACTGCTAGATTAACAGCTAGCGAGAATAACAGCTTTGTAATTTCCTGGTATATATGCATGACCTCTAATTATGTTTTTTAAACAACATAAGGCACTTCATTTCAAATTTTATGTTTTCTGTAGACTCTAATGGAGATTTAGAGTCTGGTAATATTACTCCTTTATGTATGTTACTGAATGTTCACCAGATGACACTCTTTATAGTTGCAAAAAGCTCGGTAGTACAAATGTTACCAACAGGTGATTATTTATGTATCAATGATTGGTTTGTATTTTGGATAAATATTCCACAACCAACACCTTCCTCCGTCTGAGATCCATCTGTAAATATAAGAGTTTTGTCATAGAAATCACCTCGTATAGATTTCAGGAGGACGTGAGTTATTTGATGAGACTCAGTATAATTAAGAATTATAATTATGTGTTTTAATTAATGATTTAAAATGTATGCTGTCAAATAAATACTTAAGCTCCATTATTGTGCTCAAATCAACCAACAGTAAACCAAATGATACCTTTTGATAATTATCAACAACAATATCAGGTGCAGCCAATAGTTGCCCAACAAACCAACTTTTCTCATTCTGCATCAAACTCTCAAGCTAACTAAAACTTTAAAAACAATTCAAAATCACAGATTAAAGACAACTCGATGTAAGATGAAGAACATGAAGACTCATAAAATAATAAACACACATGGCAAACAATAAGATCAAAAAGAAAAAGGCTTAAACGTCAGGATTTAAATGAAAAATTACACTCTCAAATAGGTTTCAGGCACTTCCACAGAAAAACTCCGTAAATGACGTGAATGGCTATAGCAAAATGATAAATAATTTAGCACAAGCAGTAAAAGTAGAAACCTACTTTACTAAAGCCTTAACAAACAACACAATAAAAATTTTACCAAAGACAGCTGAATCCTACAGAAAACTAATACGTCATGTACGAGAGGAAAACATCGTCTACCATACATGCCAACCTTAGCAAGAGAGAGCATACTGAGCAGTTATTTGAGACCTACATCACTCCTTTCCAGCAGATGAAATAAAAGCGAAAATCCAGAAAAAAGGTCACGGTTAAGTTTCTAACCCTAACGTTACAAATGCCACAATCATTGTTTGTGGACCTCGAGCGAGCATCAAACCAAAAACAAATAAATATTTGAACTACAGTATATAACATTGTAAAATAAGGGTAGAACTACCAAGAATGATCACACCAAAAAGTACTGTTCAAAACCACATAATTGCTTAAAATGAGCTGGATCACACAACATAAAGGACTGAAAGAGACCAAAAAACACGCCAACAACTTGCAGTCACTGCAACAGAGACCATTCTTCTAATTATAGAGAATTTTCTGTTTATCATAAACTACTAGATGTCAGATACAATGACATATCAAAACACATCACCATTCAAAATTATGTCAACAGTCAGTAAATATACCTACCCAACATCATGCTCATAATTTCAACAGAATAAGTTATAGAGATGCTGCCATTGGAAACATAAATGCAGATAAAAATAACAACAATAAATTAGCAGATAAACTACCAAATTTCCAAAACGAATTCAAAAATATGCTCTCTCAGCCCTTAAAACAAAATAGCATGATTTTAACCACGTATACTTCCAAAATAGCTTTCAAGTTATCATGAATTGCATCGTGGAATGCTAATGGCATTTCAAACCATATACTAGAGATATCACTGTTTTTAAAATGAATAATATAGACATTATATTACTCGTACATAAGTATTACACGAAGAGAATATAGCAGCTCTGGTTGTTAATATTAAAAGTGGTCAGCAACGAGAATATATCAACATTAACGAATTAATAGAAAGTTGGGGACACAAACATAATACACAAACGCTTAATAAACAAGCAAATAATAAATAATCACACAAAATATTTTGAATTTGGATATCATCCTGAGGTAAAAACACCAGCCTCAGAATTTTCAACTAAAAGCACGCCTATTGGCCTACAAGACCAAGCCGCAAACAGTAAGTCAGCCGTCAAGAAAAACATAACCCAAAGAAATTCGGTTATAATAACACACCTCACTATCTTTTAAAAACGTTTTTCGGATTGGAAATCGAAAGGTCAAACGTTAGTTAAAATTATCATTACAATCAAATGGGGCTTAATTCCATATACAAATAATATTTAACTTAAAAATGCTAAAATAAAACAGTTTTAAAACCTTTTTGAACCTCTATAAGTCATATAACAGGCACTGATTGGGACATAGATCTACGTGAGTATGTGAAGATTATCTAAGTTTATTAGAGGCTTAAGCTAAGATACCAAGACATTGAGAAAATATATGAAGATATCCAAGAGTTGAAAAAATAGAAATCCTCTCGTATGAATGAAAACCTTGATATGGTAGTATTGGTCAAAGTCAAAAGTGCTTGATGATTACTGGTATATATTCAGCTAATGTAGAAATAGCGGGCTCAAAAGATTTTTTTAATTGTCAGTATGATAGATATTGAAAATAATAATTTGTAAAAATTAAAGAATTAAAAACTTCAGTTTCTATTTTGCACATATTTAGCAACACTTACCTGGTTTGTGTAACTAGAGTTAATTCTCCATTCAAATCTACACTCTGGTGTCCAACCATTTGTCACATTTGAATTTGTTGGGGCCATGGCCTGTCTAGTAGAAGCCCTAAACTATACAGAATATTTATGCCTTTTAAACACATAATAACTATTAGATTCAATCCACATAACTAATGATGTCGATCAAATCAACACAAAACTGAAAATTTGTAGTCTACAGTTTGAGCCATTTAGATTGTTAAAATAATTAACTATGACCAGATGTGCTAAAAATCAATTTATTAATAACGACTTAAAATGTTGGAAACTTACTAAGCTGACTGTCACAAATTCATACCTTGTAACTGCAGATAGCCATGGACACTTTATAGTTTCATTTAGAAAATAGCTATATAATTAAAAATCTACATCTAGATAAAATTTAGAATAGATATTCCTATTTTCAGGTCTACAGCAATACTTATTTATAGTTGTATATGGGACATTTATATTACTAATTTTTTTATAACCAAAGCGACTGAATTTATTATGCCATTACTTAGCAGTGACTTAAGTTGTATACAAAATATTTACCATTTTTAAAGTTAGTACAACTAAACAGGGTAAGTTCATTTAGCTAAGAGTTAACTTTAATTCTAATCGAAAGCAATATTTTTTTAATTAGGAAGGTTCTGAAACTACTTTCTTGTGGTACGTCTAATTTAAATATTATGTTTATATGGGATTAAGAAACAATTATTGGTTTAACATTTTTAACTAACTAATGTTTGATGTTTCAATTTTCACTCCATAAATCGTTTTTAAAACGATTATAGAACACGATCTTGTACACAAGCAGCATGTAATTAGTTGAAAAAATCTGAAAATTGTATCGTAATTGTGGTTGAGTAACGTAAATTGAGTAACAGTAGATTTGTGTTTTTGTGTATGTGTTGCGTACGTATGTATTCTTTTACTATTAGCCACCAAAGACTGCTACATTCTGCTGATGGGTTTGCTACACATTTTCTGCGTTCATTAAGATGAGGCCTGCTTCTTTTGCCTTTTTTTTGTCTGTTTTTTTTTATGATTGTTGATGCATCTTTCCATTATGGCCTGTGCTTGTTGGCCCAGGTATGTTTATATATAATGGCGATACACCACAGTGTGGGGTTAAACCGCAAATGCTTTCTAGATCCTATTTCTTAAGTGGATCAATCTTTTTTGTTTATCTTATCTTCTTGACAATATCTCTCCATTTTTTCCTGTCTCTAGTTCTTCCTCTCCATTCTCTGACTCCTGCTATTTGGAGGTCTTCTTTAACTTCTTGCAGCCACTTTGATCTTGGTCTTCCCCTTGTTTCTTGCTCCTGGATTCCATTTTATCATTGAGTATGTCACTGCCACATCGCCTGCTCGCCAAATGTGCTCTAACCATCTAACTCTGCATTTCTTTATTTTAATTACGATGTCTTCCTTAGGTTCTTCTTTAATTTTTGCATTTGTTCTGCTTCTATATTCATTTTGCTCTGTTCTGATTGGTCCTAGTATGGTTCTCATAATCTATCTTTCTGCTATTCTTCTTAAGTCTTCTTCATCTTTTTTAACCATCGTCATTGTTTTTCCTGCATATAATAATATTGGCCGAATTATGGTGTTATAAATGCTCATCCTACTTTTTTTAGTCAGTGTTTTGCTTTTAAGTAATCTTTTGTTTGCAAAATAAGCTTTATTCTACAAAACTCCTAGGTATTTGAAGTATTCTACTTCTTTAAACTCAGAACTTCCTATTTTGATTTTTTCTTTCATTGGTTTTTTCTCTAATCTTAATATTTGTGTCTTTTCTTGATTTAATCTTAGCCCCATTACCTCCCCTTTCTCCCTTATTTCTTCTAGCATTTCTTTCATTATTTTTCTGTTCTTTGCAATAATAGCAATATCGTCTGCATATGCAAATATTTGACCACCCCTTGTTCTGAGATTTCCTTTATTTATATTTCGTAGTACATATTCTAATGCTAGATTAAATAGCGTTGTTGATAAGGCATCTCCTTGTTTTATCCCTTTATTTTTACAGAATTTCTCTGTCTCTCCTCTTTGTGTCCTTATGCTTATTTTTGTAGTTCTCATTGTCATTTCTATTAATTTTCTGAGTTTATGTGGAATTTTTAGTTTTTTAAGTGCTATCATTAATCCGTTCCTTTTAATTGAATCAAATGCCCGTTTGAAGTCTATTAATAACATTTCCAATTCTAATTTATACTCGTTTGCATTTTCTATTATTTGTTTTATTGTGTGTATTGCATCTATTGTAGATCTTCCTTCTGTAAATCCACATTGGTACTGTCCTACTGTCTTCTTTGTGATCTTTGATAACCTTTTTTTTATTATTGATGTCAATATTTTATATGTTGTATTTAGTAACGTTATTCCTCTATAATTTTCACAGATTTGTTGGTCTCCCTTTTTATGTACTGTTATGATCTGCCCTACCTCCCAGTCCCCTTGCATTTTCTCTTCTTTCCATATATTGTTCAATAATGCCAGTATTTTTTCTCTTAGTTCCCTTCCCCCGTATTTTATTAGTTCCATATTAATTCCATCTTTACCAGGGGCTTTACCATTTTTGCTTCTCTGTATTACTTCATCCAATTCCTCTAATGTTGGTTTATTTGAAATTTCGATGTATACTTCATCTACTTCATCTGCTTCTTCTTCGTGCACCTAATCCTCGTTATGCATTTCTTCTTCTGTTGTTTCCTCCGTCAAGAGCTCTCTGTAGTAATCTCTCCATACTTGTTTGTATTCTTGGTCCTCTATTATCACTATTCCCTCTCTCTTTTTTATTCCGTTTGTTTTGCCCTTGTATTTTTTGTTTTGTTCTTTAATCTTTTTGTAAAAGCTTTTTGTATTTCTGTTTGTTCTTTTATGCTCTATTTCCTGCATTTTTTTTGTCTACCCATTCTCTTTTATTTTGCCTTATCACTGTCTTAGCATTCCTTCTTAATTTTTCATATTCTTCTCTGTCTTCCTCTTTATCTGTTTTTAGCCATTTATTTCTGGCTTGCACTTTTTTTCTGTTATTTCTCTACATTCTTGGTTATACCATCCGTGTTTTGTTTTAGCCTGACTTTTACCTATCTGCATATTTGCACCTTCTTCTATTGATTTTTTGATCGTCTCCCATTCTGTGTTTATATCTTCTGCTTTATATTTCTCTTTTATTTGATCTGTTACTGCCTCTTCATATTTTTTCTTACTTCTTCATTACTCATTTTATTGACATTCCACTTTTTATGTTGTTTTTTTTTGTACTGTTTCAATTTTAACTTTTTATCTTATAGTGGCTGTGACCATGTAGTGGTCTGAATCTGCACACGCACCTCTGAACGTTCTTACATCTTTTATTGACGATTGTTTTCGTTTATTAATCATTATGTGATCAATTTGACTATATGTTTTCTGATCTGGTGACCTCCATGTTACCTTATGTATTTTAGGGTGTTCAAATTTTGTTGAGCTTATTAACAAATTTGTTCTTGTTGCTAGGTTACATAGTCTTTGCCCATTGTTATTCATGTTTTCGTGTATTGTATGCTTTCCTGCAATTTGTTGTAAAAAGTCCTCTTTTCCAATCTGGGCGTTGAGGTCTCCTAGTACAAATGTGACATCTTCTTTGGGTATTTTTTCTATCTCCTCTTCTACCCTATCATAAAAGATTTCTTTTTCGTCTGCATTGCTTGTTTCTGTGGGGGCGTATAAATTCAAGACTGATATATTAAAGGTTTGCTGTTGACTTTAACATAGGCCATCCTTTCGCATGTTGGCTTGAAATTTATAATTTTCTCTCATAGGTGCCTTAATATCATAAATCCCACGTCTTTTTGCCCTTGCTTCTTTCCTCCTGAATATAACATTGTAAAGTCTTGTTTATCAATCTCTCCCTGTCCCTCCAGCGTAATTCTTGTAGTGCTGCAATATCTATTTTATACTTTTTGAGTTATTTTTCTATTTCTAGCATTTTTCCTGGAGCTAGTATAGTTCTTATGTTCCATGTGCTTATTTTCATCTCTTTATTTTTTTTGTTCTGTTGTCTTCGTCTTTTATTTTTGTTTTCTTGTCTATCTATCTTTATTTCACTGTTGTTGTACCAGGGATTATCTGCAGTCATTTGCTGTTTCTTTGCCTCGTCCGTCAAGGAATAATGCATCCTTTTATCTCTTGCTAGTTTTTTGAACCACCTTCATGATGGTCCTCCAGCTGGTGGTGTTTCTATTCCATCTCCTTTCTAGACCATCTATTATAAGTTTGTTGGCTTTAATTTGGACACGTTTACCTTTCTTTATTTCATCTTTTGCTATTCTTCGTATTTCCTTCTGTATCTGTAATTCCTTTGTCGTTAGATCATTGTTTATATATATATATATATATATATATATATATATATATATATATATATATATATATATATATATATATATGTATATATATTTTCTTTTTCCGCTTCTTTAAGTTTTCTTTTGTTTTCCATAATTTTTGTTTTTTCCTCTTTGTTTGGCAGTCTGACTAAACATGTTTTATCTCTTAGTTTCACTGCTTCTTCTATATTTACGGTAATGTTTAGCTCTTTTGTCATAAAATTTTCTATTACTTCTTTAAGTATTCTTCTACCTCCAGTTTCTATTGTCATTCCCTGTATTATCACATTATTTTCTTTTCTTATTCTATCCAGCCTTTCAAGGCGTCCTTTTATCTTATTTAGATCCAGGTATGTTTGCATATCTGATATTTCTCGAAATCTCCATTCTTAATGTATGTTTCATGCTAGTTTAACTTGACACTCAATGGTCTTGCAAGTTCTCTTGCGTAGAAATTGTTGCATTAACAGGGTATTTTATAACAGAAATTATTAATCCTTGGATCATATTAGAAATATTGTTTAATAAACGCCAATTTAGATTTGAAAGGGCATAAAAAACTACTATAATAGGATGATAGTATGGAAGGTAATAGGATAGCAACTATTATAGGATGGTATCATTACTCAATTGGCGTTATAACTATAAAAGCCAGTATTCTCAAATAACCAACTATGTAGTTACCATCTTGTGTAAAATACTGAACAAATGAATTATTGCTTCTTTACTTTCGATGGCCGAACTTACTAATAATTTTAAACACCGACTGTGAGATGATATTCTATATCTGTGATGAAATTATAATATTTGTACTAATTGTATTTTAGCCCTAGTCCTTCAAGGCCTGATGAAATGATGAAATGGCCTAACGATCGTTTTCCAAACCAATAGATAAACCATAATATTCCATTGATAGATTTCGCAATTTTAGGTTTAGAAAACAGATCGAAAAAAATTATTCAAGAATTCGACATGGATGTGCAGAAATTTGTTTTAAAGGACCTCTTTTTCATGTGACGTATCACAATTATTTAATTTTGGCGAGTACCATAGCAAAGAATTCACGGTCGTCTCTTAAATAAAAAATTTGTATTTCAGTCCAATCTTAAATTGTTTTCAACCAAGATATTTGTTTTGGCCTACACTCATTATATCTTCTATTTTTTTCTTGGTAATAATCTACAGTATTCTGTATCATAGATATTTTTCGGTATTTGTTGTTTGTTTGTGTTTAAATGACTGCGGACACTAAATCCATTCGCCAATCTTACAATTTGAGGTGTAGTGTGTGTGTGTGTGTAGAGTAATTGTCTTGATACTTAGCAAAGTCGACGTCATTGTCTTTGCTAAGAGACGCTAATTGTATCCGAACGTCTGCGGTCCCTCCGGTGTTTACCGATCACACAAGGATAGAAATTATTTTCATTTATTAATTTTTTTTTTAATAAACCAAAATTTCCACCCAGGTGGGATTCGAACTCACGATCTTTAGGTTTAAAGGCAGGCGCTCTTACCACTGAGCCACAGAGGGGGTTTTTCGGTATTTAACAGTATTTTTATTAATTAATTACATTGTTATGAAATATTGATCACACCTATTTGGTGGTATCCTAAATCTAGGAGCATAGTCATTTTTTTAATAAATATTCATTTTTGTATGTAAAAGCGTATTGTGTCTCCAAAGAAAAAAAATAAACATTTAATTTTTTTTTAAATCTATAATTACGTTATTTTTATTTCTTAAATTTACATGGAGACTGTTGATACATAGTGTCCATTTGTAAATCTTAGCTTAGTGAGTTTTCGAGTTCAAGATGTTTTACCTTCGTTACTAATAAATATATTCTTATAAACTTTTGGTGCTGGGTATTAGTAACTATCCATTATTAACTAACAATATGTCTAGCGACTAGTAATATTTTTATTAAAATAAATACAAATATTCCTAATTTTCAAATGCGACAAAAAAATTTGTCCCGATGTATATTTTATTTTATTACGAACATTAAATCATGATAAGTATCAAATTAGTAACTTTAGATTTTACAAAAACTCAACTACACAAGTCCATAGAATCATAAATGAAATATCAAAAAGTAAAAATAGCAATCCAGTAACTATTTATTCCATACTGCTGTATGATGTAGAAACCTGGACCATAAACGCCAATGTGATGAACCGATTGGACGCCTTTGAAATGTGGGTATTTAGAAGACTACTTAAAATTCCCTGGACAAATCATACAACAAATGTCGAAGTATTTAATCGAATGGACAGAGAACGAGAATTCTGCCAATAATAAAAAGAAGAAAAACTGCTTATCAGGGTCACTATCTGGTGATCCAAGTACCAGTTCTTAAAGCTTATTATGGAAGGGAAGATAGAAGGAAAACTATGCATCAAAATCAAGAAATACTCATGGCTTAAAAACATAAGGGATTGGACAAACCCCGATGCCCATGTACTTTTTAGAGCCACACAAGATCGAGAGGAGTATGCCAGAATTGTCGCCAACATCCACTAATTGGATAGGGCACCATAAGAAGAAGAAGTATCTATTTTCTCCTACTTAAATCCTACATATCAAATAAATATATCTCTATAAAATTCAATGAAAAACAATCCAACCTATGTACTATTAACTCCGAAGTCTCACAGGGTAGTGTTCTGGGGCCGCTGCTTTTCTCACTCTATACAGCCAGATACTATTAATACCTTCCTTTGCTGACGACGTAACAATACTAGTTTCTGTAAATAAAGATCCCATACAAGCCTCACAAAACCTGCAACCTCATCTGAACATATTCAGTGATTGGTACACAAACTGGAGCACAAAAGTAAACAAAACAAAATCAACTCAAATAACATTTACCAACCGCTACAATACATGCCCACCTGTAATAATGGAAATTGTAAGAATACCAATAGTAACAGACGCTAGATACCTTGGCCTCCATCTTAACCAACATTTGGAAAAAATATATCCAGACCAAAAGAAGACAGCTCGACTTAAAATTCCGGCAAATGTATTGGCTTCTCAGACGTAAATCAAAACTTTACATCCAAAACAAAATTCTTCTCTACAAACTCATATTCAAATCCATCTGGTTCTACGGACTACACATATGGCGCTGTACAAAGCCAACGTTGCTAAATCTCATCCAAAGATTCCAGTCTAACGTGCTAAGATCGATAGTGGATGCACCATGATACGTAAGTAATCAAACACTACCTTTTAAAGATTTCTTTAATTGAAGAAGGAATCCATCGAACCACGGAGTCACAAAATAAACGTACCATTTACCATGAAAATGAGCTAGTAAGAGAATTATTCAACAATGGTCCAGTCATAAGAAGACTAGATAGAACCTGGTCCCAAGACCTACTTAAAAACTAAATCAAAATATAATCATTATTGGATATCTCTCCTTCACGACGAAAACCAGTAACACTGTTACTACTTAATACTCTGTAATGATGTAGATTGTAAATAAACATAAATATAATATAAAAAAACATTTTAGAGGCGTGTTTCCAATCTAAATGGATTATACTGTACGTATTTTTATATATTTTATTTATGTTGGAACTGCTTTAGTTTATGCCATATAGTAAAATGTATTGTTGCTTACTTCAGCAAAATGTACTGGCCCCAATGCATCTAGCATCCCGTTAGTTATCATTGCATTTAACGTAGCATCATCAATATAACTAGAATCTAATCTTGGATAACGGTTTCTATGGGATGAAGACCTTGTATCATTTCTTTTTGGTCTCTATAACAAGATATAATTGTAGATAATAAAAATATAATGGATTGATAAAAAATAGATATAACAAGATTAAAGACAATACGTATTTACTTAACAGGTCGATTATTATTGGAATTAGATTAACACGTTGATTTTATTAACTCTAATTATTTTTGTGTGGCACCAATTTAATACAAGCTAATACGTATGAACGAAGTCAATAGACTTTTATTATATTAGAATTATTTTTAATTGGTTTTGGTAAACTAAGCAGCAATTTACTTTTTTGGGTACTTTTGGCACTGATTTAGTATAACGGTCCTTTCACGTCACACGATTTCGCTCGAGCGAGAAAAAATCGCCCGAGAAATTTTTCTTGATCGACTGTTAAAGAGCACGAGACCTTTCACATTGCACGATTAGAACACGGGCACGTTTTGTAATCGGGATGCAGCTGTCTAGTACCACTAGAACTGGACGGCTACCGTATCGTCCTCGAGCTCAGTGGCCTACGTGACCAAATGCACGCTTTCACACTAGACGGTCCTCAGTCGCACGGGAAGTTTTGGTGGCTTGTTTGCAAATTATGGAAGGGGTTGACGCTGAAGTTTTAATATCGCTAATTGAAGCAAAACCTGTGGTATGGGACAAAACTTTAGAAATTTGAAGAAGTATGTTTAGCACTCAATCCGGATTTGGAGAACAATGGCAATGGAGAAAAAAATGTATTTGGTAAGTACTATACATATTAACTTTCTATTAAGCAAACTAAACTTACTTTTTGGATGTGTGTATATTGTATTTTGTAATGTATATTGGTGTTGTATGTATTGCATACTTAACTTGATTTCCTATCTACAACAGAGACACTTTTTATTTTTATTTCATTTATTTATTTTCACATATATGACAAATTATACTTTAAACATTTGACAGGATACACTTCCGACTTCTGTCAAAAAATATGAGGTAAGCACACTTCTGATATTGTTTGCTTCTAAACCTCTTCGTGTAGTGGTTTCCCTTGATACATCTTCCAGGCCTGTAATCGTCGTTATGTCCTCAACAAGATATTCGTCTCTGTCACGTACATAATTGTGCAATACGATGCACGCATGAGCTCTGCAAAATGTGGCTGAACGTTGATAGGGCGATGGAACACACTCCATTTATTGCTCAGGATGCCAAACACACATTCCTCATATCTTCTTGCTCTGCACAATCTATAATTACAGACCCTTTTTTCAACTGTTAAGCGTTTCCCTCCAAAGCGTCTCAGTAGATGTCTGTATTCTTCTCAGTAGAAGTCAAATGCTTCGTCTCCAACAAAGAAGTTTGGTATTTGAGGACTCTCTGTTCCTGGAAGAAGTGTTTCCTTGGGTAATGGTGGAGAACCACTTCCTATTGATTTCCACAATTTGGACCTCTTAAATATTGACGAGTCACACTCTTTACCATAACCCCCTACATCAACGTAAACAAATCTGTACTTTGTGTCTGCTACAGCCATAAGGACAATAGAGAAGTAATCTTTGTAATTAAAATACATTGATCCTGAATCAAACGAACAAGTCAGTCTTATATGCTTACCGTCCACAACTCCAAGGCAGTGAGGGAAGTTTGCGATACTATCAAAGTTGGAAGCAATTGACTGCCACATATCACAAGTTTGTGTCGGTATTTCTTGCATTTCTGACCAAATCGCAGCACATACTTCTTCGACTATGTTTTTTGCTGATGAAATTCCAACTCTGTAGCTATAGTGCAAATCCGTAAACGTACACCCACTTGCCAAATATCTTAAATAAGGTGAATATTGTCATTAATAATTATCATACTGAATTGATTGTATTTATTTATTTATTTTATTTTATTTATTTTTTTTACAGGCAAAGAAGTGATGAAAAGGTGGACTAACCTCCGAGATTGCAAAAATCGAAAAAAGATGACAAATCTGCTAAAAAAAAGTGGATCTGGGGCTAAAAAACGTAAGAAATATGTGTTTTCAGACTAACTTCAATTTTTGAATAAGATCTACATCGAAAAAGAAACGGTAGACAGCTTTAACGCAGAAATTGTACCAGGAACACTCGAAGAAGATGAAGAACTTAAAGGCACCACTGGTGAACCCGAAGTTTCTACCAACGTAAACGTGTCATCCAAGCCCGTAGGAACAAGGAAACGAAATAAACGAGATGAGGTTGAGGTAAAAATGCTCAAAGCTCTGAAACCTAAAACACCCTGCAGTAAAATGTCCTTTCTTCAGAGTTTAATGCCTCATTTGACAAACTATTCCAACAGTCAATTTCAAATGGGAGTGTTAAACGTAATCTTCTTCTTTTAGTACCGTGCCCAAGTTTTAGGCGTGGGTAGCTTCCATGACGATTTGCCGATATCGTTCTCGATCTTGCGCGGCATGTAATAATTCATCTGCTGTTAAGCCAGTCCATTGACGAAGGTTTCGGGGCCATGAGTATTTCTTTCTGCCAATTCCTTCTTCTTCCGTCGATCTTTCAATTGAATATCAACTGCATTATCCTGTATCTGCTTCCTCTCATTATATGCCCCAAATGTTCGAGTTTTCTCTTTTTTATCATTTTTATTAAGTCACCTTCGCCTTGACCTACTCTGTTCAAGACTTCTCTGTTTGAAATGTGTTACTTACTTACTTACTCCGTGGCGTTACAACCCTTCGTGGGTTTTAGCGGACTCGACAACATGCCTCCACTGTTTTCTGTCTTGAGCAACCTCCATCCAATTCTCCACGCCCATAGTGCTTAGGTCTCCTGCTTTATTATCTCGCCACCGGAGACGAGGGCGTCCGCGTGGTCTCCTTCCAGTTGGGACTTCCTGCCACACCAGTCTTACTGTTCGTTCGTCAGAATGTCTTCTGAGGTGTCCTGCCCATTGGAGTCTTCTGGACTTTATTTCTTTTATGATGTTGGCGTCTGGGTAAAGTTCTTCAAGCTCTTTATTAGTTCTTATCCTATATTGTCCTGATGTTTCATCAAGCACCGGACCAAAGATCTTCCTTAGGATTTTTCTTTCCCAAACACGTAGTCTCTCTTCATTTGCCTTTGTCATCGTCCACGTTTTGCTTCAGTACATCACAACGGGTCGTATGATTGTTTTATAGACCTGTATCTTCGTACGTCGTATTAGTTGTTTTGATTTTATAAGTTTTTGGAGGGCAAAAATACATCTGTTGCCGGCCTGAATCCTGTTGTTTATTTCTTGTGATCCGTTATTGTCTTCAGTTATTGTTGTTCCAAGATACTTGAATTCCCTAACGCGCTCAAAGTTAAAGTCATCGATGGTAATGTTCTGACCGATTCTGTCTCTGCTTTGGTTATTGCGGCTCATATATATATATATTTCGTCTTGTTTTCGTTGATTTGGAGCCCCATCTTCTCTGCTTCCTTCTCAAACCTTACGAAAGTCTCCTTCATCCTTAATCGCGTGTTTCCTATTAGATCCATATCGTCTGCAAATGCCAGTAGTAAGTTTGGTCCTTCTCGATGAAATACTGTATTCGGTTTTTCGATTCTTGCACTTCTGATTATGTGCTCCAGAGCTAAGTTGAAGAGTTGTGGTGAAAGTGCATCTCCCTGTTTTAGTCCATTGTTTATTTCAAATGTCTCCGAGTATTGTTGTCCAACTCTCACCTTACATCGTAACCGTTCCATACACATCCGTATCAACCGGACTAGTTTTTTTGGAAAGCCAAGTTCCTGCATCGCTGTCCACAGTCTGTCCCTACATACTCTATCAAATGCTTGTTTAAAATCTATGAACATCATTTAAAATCTATGAACATCTTTAAAATCTATGAACATCAAACATTGAAATGTGTTGAACCCATGATATTCTAAGCATTCACCCACGATATAACCACATCTCGAGGGCTTCTAATTTGTTCATCATGTTAACCTTCATAATCCAGGTATCACATCCACGCAGTAACACAGGATACACATAACATTTTAGGAACTTAATTCTTAGCTGTAAGTCAGCTGAGAATTGCTCAGAATAAATCTAAGTTTCATAAATGCTCCTCTTTCAATTTCTATACGAGTTTTAATTTCTTCATCCGGATTTAGTTTCTCGTTTATCCAACATCCTAGATATTTAAAATGGTTAACTGTTGTTATCGGTTCATTATTGACAATTAGTTGTGTAGCGCCGAGGTCTTGTTTACTACACACAAGTAACTTTGTCTTTGTAGTATTTATGCTTAGTCCGTTATTAGAGCATTCTCTGGTGCCTCGATCTATAAGGAATTGAAGATCTGCGATACTTTCGGCCATGCTTGCGGTGTCATCTGCATATCTGATATTATTGATAGTTTCTCCCCCGATTCGAACTCCACATTGCCCTTCGAAGGCTTTGTTAAAAATTATTTCTGAGTAAACGTTAAACAAAGTTGGGAACAACACACAACCCTGTCTAACACCTCTTTGAATACAAATTTTGTCTGTTTCTTTGCCGTCTACCAGAATAGAAGCTTCTTAATTCCAATATAGATGTTGTAAAAGTCTCAGATCTTTATCATCTATTTCAATTCTTTCTAGATATTCAAACAACCTACCACGTTGAACCCTATCAAACGCCTTCTCAAAATCTATAAAACATACGTAAATTGGATTCTGTACTTCCCATGATCGTTGACGTAGTGTTAACATTGAGAACAAAGCTTCCCTTGTTCCCAATCCCTCTCTGAAATCGAATTGTTTATTTCCCATTATGTCTTCACAAATCTGCTTAATTCTATTAAGAATTATATTAAGACGTAGTTTGAGAGAGTGATGATGTATTAGGTTTTTTTGGAAGTGGCATAAATGTAGACTCCAACCATATTTGTGGCAATGTTCCAGTTTCGTATATGTGGTTATAAATATTTGTTAGTTCTGAGACAATGTTATCATCTAGAAGTTTGAGCCAGTCTGATGGTATTTGGTCCGGGCCTGGAGATTTCGCATTTTTGCTTTGTTTGATGGCTTTCTCTACTTCTGCTTTTAATATAC